TTTTTTTCAGGATTTTGGTGGAATGTAAAAAGAGAAAATTTGGAAATGATTGAAATTATTTTTTAAAAAGTTAAAAATTAAGCTTATTTATATAAATATTCCTATATATCAGAAAAAAAACTCAAATAGTACATTAAATAAATATTATTTTAGTAAATCAGTTTAATCTGAAAGTTCAATTCATTGAAATAATAATACCATCATCCCTAAGGAATGATAAATGCATCATTCCTTAGGAACGATAAAACTATCGTCTCTAAGGAACAATAATACCATCATTTCTTAGGTATGATAATACCATCATCCCCAAGGAACAATAAAACTATCATCCCTAAGGACAATAATACCATCGTTCCTTAGGTACGATAAAATCGTCATACCTAAGAAATGATAATACCATTGTTCCTAAAGAATGATAAAATCGTTGTACCTAAGAAATAATAATACTATCATTTTTTAGGTATGATAAAACAATCATTTCTTAGGAACGATAATGCATTATACCTAAGAAATGATAATACTATTGTACCTAAACAATCGTCTCTAAGGAATGATAAAATTGTTGTACCTAAGAAATGATAATACCATCATTTCTTAAGTATGATAAAACAATTGTTCCTTAGAAATGATAAATGCATTGTATCTAAGAAATGATAAAATAATTGTTTCTTAGATACAATAATACCATCATTGATAAAATAATCATTCTTAAGGGACGATAAAATCATCATTCTTTAGGTATGATAAAACCATCGTTCCTTAGGTACGATAATATCATTGTCCTTAAAGAATGATAAAACAATCATCCCTAAGGAATGATAAAATCATCATTCCTTAGAAATGATAAAACCATCATTCTTTAGGTACGATAATACCATCATTCCTAAAGAATGATAAAACAATCGTCTCTAAAGAATGATAAAACTATTATCTCTAAGGAATGATAATACCATCGTATCTTAGGAATGATAAATCGTCATACTTAAGGTACGATAAATGCATCATTCCTTAGGAACGATAAAATCATCATACCTTAGATACGATAATACCATCATTCCTAAGGAACAATAATATCCTATCGTTCCAATCAGACGTCAATTAGTTATAAATAAGATAGGTCAAATTTTGATATATACCAATTGGCTATAAGTATGCCAATCAGCTATAAATAAGATAGGTCAAATTTTGGTTGATTCTTAGCCAATTTCTGATATATGCCAATCAGCTAGACTGATTTTTAATAATTTGTCAAATTTAGATCGAATTTAGGCTGATTTTAGGCTAATTTTCGCATGTCTGATTTTTTTGATTTTGACCAGTGAAAATAAAATAATAATATTATACTTCAATCCAAATAATATCATTTTTACAATTTCCAGAACCTTTAAATAACTTTTTTAAATTAATATTTTGGTTTTCTACTTGTTTTTTTACAAGATTTTCTAATGAATCAAATTTTTGATTTAATCTTTTTTTATCAGTTTATATTTCTTAAAACACTTCCAATATTTTTAATAGAATCAGAATTAATTCTATAAAATGCAATTGACTTGTATATTATTTATTATCAATATTAATTATTAATTATATTATTTAACATATTACCTTGTGAATGATTTTCTGAAGATTTGCCATATTTCTGCTCTTCTTCATATGAAACTTTAGATTCTTGACCTGAATTGAAATATGAATCATTTTCATTAATTATTTTTTGATTTTCAAGAAATTGAAAATAATTGTTTTCTTCATACTCCTTTTCGCTTAGAATATCTGTATTTAAAATAAATTTTTTTTTTCTCAGTTAGCACCCTGTGTTGAACTTTTTGCAACTTAACGATCTTTATCAATATGATCATTTATTTAAATTAGCAGTATAGATGGTATTGTAGTTTCAAAAATTAAAATTAACGAATATGAAGTATATGATATTTTTTAAGATAGAAATATTTCATTGTCATGAAAATTGTCTTGAAAATTATCTTGAAAATTATTGTTTTTAAAACATTTGTTTTTTTATTTTTTTTTATTGTTTTGTGTATAATTAGAAATAATTAAAATATTATTTTCTTGAATTTTTTTTGTAATTTTATTACTTCAACATAATAGTTGTATTTTATCATTATCTTTATTATTTTGAAATTTTTTTATAATATTTATTATTAGAAAGAAAAGATAAATGAAAAAAAAAAAATTGTTTTTACAATAATAAAGAAATAAAGGTCTATTTATAGTTAATAATTATAAGTCATATTTTTAGTTTAAAAATAAACTATTTGTTTATTACAGAATGTAGAAGATGTAAGAATACAAACTATGTTTTATAAACTATTGTTTATCACAGAATATAGTAGTATAAACTATATATTAATATAAATAAAATCTAAGCCACTAATAATTTTATTATAAATTTTTAATACAATCTTATTAATTTTTAAAATATCAATGATACAAAATAATCGAAATTATTGTTCTACTTGTAATAAATAATTTAGTATAAGTTCTGTTTATAGTAATCATATAAAATTAAAAAAAAAACATTTGCTTAAACTATTAGGATTTCAACCATTTAATAAAACAAATAAAGTATTGGAAAATCTCACCAATTCTTTTGATACTATAAATTTAAAATATGATAAAAAATATGATAGTATAGAATGTAATAATGAAGATGAAGAATATAATAATGAAAAAGGTAATAATGAAGATAAAGAATATGATAGTGAAGAAGGTAATAATAAAGATAAAGAATATAATAATAATGAAGAATGTAATAATGAGGATGAAAAATTTGATAGTGAAGATAAAGAATATAATAATGAGGTAAATCAATTTTGCTTTTACTTTATTTTTTATTTAAATAAATTAATTTTATATATTTTACTAGATTATTAATAATAATTAGTTTATAAAAATTGATTTTGAAGAGGAAACAAATTTTTTATATCCTTCACAAGAAATTACAAATATTTTTTCTAATGATGTTGCTGAAGAATATGCAAAATTAATTATAAAACATAATTTAAGTCAAAAAGCTGCTAATAATATTTGCCAGTTTTTTAATAAATTTTCATTATAATCAAAAAGTTCATTACCAAGTTCAACAAAAAAACACAAAAAATAATAGATCAAATTAAAACAAAAAATATTAAATTTAAGAAAAAATTTATAACTTCATTAAATAGAGTTAATTATTTTTTGGAATATTATACAATTTTAACTGCAATTGCAAAATTAACATATGCAAATTTGATTATTAAAAAAAAATTATTATTAAAGTAAGTAGTTTAAATACTACTGTATAATATTAATTTATATTTATAATTAATTATATTAATTTAAAATAGGATGAATAAAACATGACTTGTTATACTGAAATGTATAATTCAAATTGATAGAAAAGAATTCAAATAACAATTCCTATTGGTTCTAAACTTATATCACTAATTTTATATTCAGATGTTATAACTTGTGATGTGCTTGAAAAAAATTTTTAACATCTAATTTTTTAACTTTGAGAAATATTTCACAAAAATATCGTAACAAACAATATGCTAATTCAATTATTGGATTTTTACCAATTTTAAAAGCAAAAAACCAAAATGAACAAAAATCAGAACCTTTTAGAAAAGAAGTTCGAAAAGCATTTCATAAATATTTAAATATTATTTTTAAACCTATATATAATCAATCTCATATTATATTTAATACATATATTTGTTAAAAATTAAAATGGATTTATATTAAACTATCATTAATTTTAGCTGATTTACCTGAAGCAGCTTTATATTATTTAACTTCAAAATCTGCAAATGTAAAATGTCTATATTATTTCTAAACAAAATCTTTTAAATATTAATTTAAATAAAAAAGAAATAATTAAACGAATTTCAGAATCTATGAAAATAGTATTATATAATGACTATGAAAAGGATTTATCAATTTTTTATCTTTAAAATTCTTTATGAAAACTTGAGTAAGAAAAATAATTTTAATTAATAAATTTATTGATATTTAATTTAAATTAATATTAATTAATTTTAAATTTTTATTAGAAATTTTAACATATATAGTGTATCTATTTCAGATTGTTTATATCACTTAGATATTAATTTATTCAAATATCAATTGAAATATAGCTGATAACTTCTTAAATCATATGGTGATTAAGAAGTTATAATGAAATAGATAGACGATTAGGTTTAATACCATTTTTTCCTAATTTAAAAATTTTTAAATATGGTCTTCAAAATATTAAAAGATTTACAGCTTCTGAATATTGTGATGTTATGAAAATAGTTGTATTTATTATTGATGGAATCCTAAATTCTGTTAATAAAAAAATTGATAAAATATTAACTTAACTTTATTATCAATAAATAATATATATAATGAGTCGTGATGATAATTATACAGAAAATTCTTTACAATAATTTAAGGTAATAAAAAATATTTAAATTATTATAATTTTTATTTTTTAATTTAATTTAAAAAAGTTTATTTTAAACTTTAGGATGCAAGATTTAATTGGCCAAAAATATTTGTTTTCTTATTAAAAGATTACTTCTAATCTAAATTTAGTTTAATAAAACTTTATTTATGGTTTTATTATATTGATGAATCAATTTGTGAATATAGTTCTATAAATGGTTAGACTATAAAATCTTTGAAAGTCTTCATAAAGATTATATTAAAATACCATATAGATCAAGTAACAAACATAATATTAATACTCAGATTATTGAATCAGTAAAAAATAACAGTTAATTTAAAATCAATTTATTTATTAATTATTATATATTTATTAAAATTTAAAAATTAATTTTTAGATTTGTAGACGTGCAATACTCAACCTATTAAATTCATTTAATAATCCATTCAATAAAAAATCTATATTTATAAAAAATATTAAGTTATCCTCTCCTGGAATTGGAATTTTATTATCAGATTTTAATAAGATTTGTATAGAATTTTCTAATAAGAAAACTCATAAATTAACATTATGTGATTTTGATTAATTATCAATAAAAATTAACGCTTAGATTAAAAATAATGCTAAAAGCATATATATATATAATACTTTCATTTTGCTACCTGATCTGTTGGTAGTAAAATATATGCTAAAGATAATCGTTATAATCAATCAATTTTCTGATATTACAATAAAAATAAGTATAGATAATATTGATATATCTAGAACAGCAGATGGATTATATTTTACTAAGGTTGTAAATAATTTAATTAATATGATATTATAAAATAAAAACTGATTATCTTTTTTTTTATAGCTCTTACTATTATTTCAATTAAATGAAGGATCTACTATTATAGATCTTGCAGTAGTTCAATGGTTTGATTTTAAACACAACTTAGAAGAATTACACATAAAATATAAATGTTTATATATAAAATTAATTGATAAATATGATATAATTTCTATAGAATCAATTGCAGATTTAGTTCATATTATATCACATTTTGGATATAATAATTTATTTTTTGTAAACTACTTTTTATTTTGATAACAATTTTTTAAATATTATTTGAATATAATAAAAAGAAAGTAATAAAAATATAAACTTAAACTTTTATTTTATATTTTAATTAACTAATAAATATTTTATTATATATATTCTATTATAATTATATGATTTCACAATTTTTTTGAATCCACATGGTTACATGTGAAAACTTACATAATCTGAAGAGTAGAATTCCACATAATTATATGTGGATCTCTGTAGAAATATGTCTACATAATCTGATGAATGGAATTTCACATAATTATTTATAGATCTCTGTGAAAAAATATCCATTTAATTCAATATTTGAAATTCCATATGTTTTGATACAAACCTATGTAGAATTATGTGATCTGATCTACTTAAAAACTTTCTGATAATATATACTTATAATTATACTCAATTCTCAGGTTTTATATATTATCATATTTTTTAAGTTACAATATAGTTAAATTTAAATAAACTTTTAACTAGATTTTTTTATGAAAGATAAAAATAAAATTCAAGTGAAGAAAAATTTATCAATAATTATATTAATATTTATTTATATACAACTATAACAATAACAACAATTTAACAATAACAACAATTTTACAATAAAGATAATTATCAATATTTTCTAATAATATTCAAGATTATCAATATATACTTATTTAATTGTTATAAAAGGTTTAATGATTTATAATACAAAATTCAATAATAGTTTCAAATTTATATACACTTTTTAATAAAATATTTACTTTTGAAATTGAAAAATAAATACATAATAATTACAATGTAAATAATTTAAAGATTAAATTAATAATAAAAAATCTATTAGTAATTCATAAAAAAGGACATTCTTTTAATAAAAAATTACTAGAATAGAGGAATTAACTAAATTTAATAAAAAAAAAACAAAAAAAATATTAATATATATACTGAAATGTGAAATATACCTACCAAAATGCAAAATATATAAATAATTCAACTATTATATGAAATTTAAGAATCTTACTATTATTCCTTCATAATGTTATATTTTATTTTCTACTCAAATCCTTTTAAGTTTTTTTTAAATCTGATTTTTTCTCTAATAAATTAAATTTAGGTATATTTTTAAAAAAATTTTTACTTAAATATTTAAGCATTTGATTTTTATATTAATAATATTAATTTATATTAAAAAAAATAAAAACAAAGATAAATTCCTTTATTGCAATGAAATTTTATCAAACCAATTAACATAAAAAGTTTTAGAATATTTAAATGATATTTCAACAGAAAAAAGTAAGTATTATAAATTTAATTTAATGTTTTTTATTAAAAAAAATAATAAAGTTAATTTTTAAATTTTATATAATAAAATCTACTCATATTGTAATTAAATAATATGATTTTTATAGAATCTATAAAGAAGAAGGAATAATTATTCCTTATGGAGTTGAAAAGAGATATCTATTATATATAGCTTTTGCAAAATTACCTATCAGATCATAGAATTAAAGTTAAATTTGTTAAAAACTATAAAAGATCAATAATATAATGAATATCATATAAGTACAATCAAAAAATTATAAGAAATAGATAGATCTAAAATGAATTATCTATTATTTTAAATTAATTATTTTGAATCCTTTCAGATAAAGTTTAAAAATTAATCTTTTTAGTTTATTTAATTAATAAATTTTAATAATATTTTTTTTAAACTAAATAAAGGTTTAGCAGTTATCATGAAAATTTTAACTGATATATTTATTCAATTTGAAATATTAAAGCAATTCTTTATGTTTTACAGTCTTCAATATAGTATTTAATTCAAATCTTAATACTTAAAACTACAATTTGATTATTACAAAAGATTTTAAAAGTATTTTTTTAAATATCACAAAAAAAATTATAAAGGATAATATTAAGTTTAAATTATATATTTATAATGATAATAAATAATGCTATGCTAAAAAAACTTTAAAAAATATGTGATATTTACATTTAATCAATATATCATATTTTACATTAATATATTATATTAATTGTCCAGAGCGTTAGCGAAGGACTATTCACTGTGATGACTTAACAAAATTTGTTTTAACTCCCATTTTTGTCCCTGTCACAATCATCAGTTTATTTTCCTTTTTTGAAAATACATCATGATTATGTAAAATAAACTAAAAATAAACTAAAAATAAAAATAAAAAAATAAAATAATCCCCTGTACTAAAAGCAAAAATATATAAGATCGCGTAATACTTGTGTTAAAAGTTGCGTAATACTAGTATAAATCGTATAATATGATTGTAGATCATGTAACCTTTCGCTAAATAACGAAAAGCAAAAAATTTTTTTTGCAAGAAATTTAGATTTTTTCTATTTCAGCTAGTTTTTTTTCTTCTGCAATTCGTTCTTTTAATCTTTTACAGTTTTTTATGCGCTCAATTCTACTAAAATCAAACTGCTTAAAAATAATATTATTGAGAGAACGAACGCGGAAAATTGCTACAAATGACAAACCAGCAGCGAATTCCCTCTTGCCAAGATCTATAACTGCTTTCGGTAAAGTTAGACCTTGCGATTTGTG